AGGGATACCGTCTTGCCGGAAAAGTTGAAACTTAACTCATTCTTTAGGAAATGCGCGATTCTCACTAGGCAACAAAGCCAAGGGATATTACAACTTCCTCCAATAATTTTGGCAACTGATCGCCGTCGTACAACAAATGCGCATTCCTTCAAAAAATATCATCGCCTAACTGCAGCGCCCGCCTCTACAAGATCCCTGTAGCCGACTTCAAACCTTCCTGCTACCTTGAAACTCAAGGAAAACATGGAAATTATTTTGTCTTCGAGCAACTACTCCTAATTACTCCCAGGCAGACCCACGGGCCCGTGGCTCAACCTGGGAGTGGGGGGCTTAATGATGTGCCTAATTGGGCTTTAATCCAAAAGGCCCAAAAGGCTCATTAAAAGGAAAAGTCCAACACAAATGCCCTTAATTAAGAACTTCATAAGAAGCTTATGATAAGAAATCTAATGTTATTTGTCCCACATTGGTTTTCTACAAGAAAATCATACCAAACTCCACCTATAAATATGTGTTATCAATCACATAACAAGGTAAGCATTATTTTATTGTGATAGTTTTCTGACTTGAGCGTCGGAGGATAATCGCCGGGCCACCCCCGGCGTGTCACCTAGTGTTTTCAACTGTTTTGTAGGTTAACGAGTGGAACGATCCCTTCGACTACCTCGGACGTGTGGCAAGGACTCTCGGCATTCCCGATATTAGGTTTGAAGATTCCCGAACTTAGAAGACCTGTGGGCTTCAAGAACATTGGGTTGACCCAACATTTTGGAGCAGCATCACTATATAAATCTAATTTTTTTTTCTAATACAAATTGTTAATTCTTATACATAATATTTTTCAAATAAAAAAAATGGTAAAATACATTTTACACGTACGTACTATTGAAAAGATCGCATTCACCTCTGTAGTATCAAAAACTATAAAATTCCCTTATGTCAGCTATTCTGTCAGTCAAAGTTGATGTGGCATTTTGACAGCACGAATTTCAATTTTTGGACATTTGTACCGCTTACCATATATATATATTATCCCTTCTAATTCAAATCATTAACAAAATTATTAGCAAGAGAATTATAAATTACATAAAACAATTTTAAAACTGGAAAATTCAAGTTTCAAATATTGATTTAGAAAACTATTTTAAATATCATGTATTACAATTGGAATTAAAAAAAAAATGAAAATATATTGCAATAAAGTAGAACCTCGATAAATTAATACCCGATAAATTAATAACCTCGCTTAAATAATAAATTTTCTCGGTCCCGACTCGGGGACAACGTGCTAAATTAATAATTCGCTAAATTTATAAGATAATACACATTCGAAAATTTTAAGAAGCCCCATATAATATATAAATTAATAATGCATAAAAAAATTCTTAAATTATATGGTACAAGTACATATTTATAGATTTATGAAGGCTTAGTACAATTTAATTTAATTGTCACTTGTTTCTTGTTGAAGTTCACATTACCATCAATCTCATCCCTCACTTTTCTTAACACGGTTAGAACTTTCGGTATAGTTTTCTCATAACTCAACATAAAATCTTCTATACCATTGCTGCTTTAAGAGTTTCCGTTCGTGAAACGGGCTCTATAGTGCATTGAATTAATGGTTTAATAAATAATATACGCGTAAAAAAATGAAAAAAAATGGGTTTATTGAAAATAATAATAAAAGTATTTTTATAAATTAATAAGTTATTAATTAATGTATAAATTAATAATTATTAATTTATCGATAAGTTAATATTTCGCTAAATTAATAAAATTTTGATGGTCCCAACTGTATTAATTTATAGAGGTTTAACTGTATAAGAGTAATATAGAATTATAAGAAAAATAAAGTAAGCTTTGCTTTTACATAAACATGGCTAATATCTGAAAAAACAAGAATATTATATTTCATAAACCTGAGCTCTATAATGGGTGTTTTGTAAAACTAAAATGATTGTATCAAATTAAATTCCCTGGGTATGCACGGTCGATCCTCACGCTCAACTCGAATATAACACGCACTGTAATAACCAAGCGAAACCACTTGATCGGAGTAATCCGAACTAAAACCATCTCAGGATGAGAACATTTCGATCAGATAACTGCTTTGACGCAGCCCACTTTGAATGACCATATCCAAACGACGTTGTAGTGACAACTACAAGACCTAACCAGATCAAAACCCAAGTTCATCCCACATATCCCATCCAAAAACCCGATTCACTCTTCTGATTTAGGCAACTCATTTTTGTCATGAGACCGTCGACGCGACAATTTCTGCTGGTGTTGTACGCTCAATTTCCGTGATCGGCGGCACAAAAGTTTGAGCTCCCTGAGAATGTCGTTTCTTTGGATTTTGAGAACGTCGTTTCTTTTAATTTGCTATGGCTAAATCGAATTTTCCATGGCTAGATCAAATGAATGTCGTTTATTTGGTTGATTTCACAAATGAAATTAATTCTACTCTTATATATAGTATTGTGCCTCCCTAATTGATGGCAAGATTGATTTAATTATACGATTGTGAGTGACTCTACAAATCATTTCATATTCTACTTGCATTCTAGAATGTAAGTATAATTAAGAGGTTTCTAAAAATCTTTACAACTTGTATTTCTCTCTCGTGCTTCACTCAATAACCCCTTCAACTGTTCTCATACCAATTTATGATTCTTAACCCACATATCAACCCCTTATATTTTAGTAATGAGAAGGGGACCATACTCTAACCGATGAATATAACAACTTCAAAAGGTGTTTTCTTAATGGTTGAATGGAGGTGGTGTTATACCACCCCAAGGCAACCCAAACACTCCACTTATTTGAGAATTGCCACACATACATCTTAAATAACTCTCCAGACGTTGGTTGACTCTATCAGTATGCCCATCAATTTGAAGATGGTTAGCGCTATTGAGCTGTACGTTGTCGCACACCTAAAGTTTGCATTAGCTCCTTCCAAAATAAGCTGGTGAAGATTGGGTCCCTATCGTAAATAATAAAACTAAGGATCTCATGTAGCTTATAAGTTTCAGTAAGAAAGACTTAAGCTAGAGCAGAAGCACTTATGAAATGTGCATATCTAGTAATTATGTCCGTTACTACCCATATCACCTCCTTCCCTTGTGACTTTGGTAGATGAACAATGAAATCCATGTAAATGGAAGATCATTCTAGGACATTATGGGGTTTTCACATGTTCATGCTTGTTGATCTGGCAAGCATGGCATTGTGAGACCATCTCCTTAACTTGTTGCCTCAATCCTATCCATAGTTAATTTCATCTTATTTATCATAAAATTTAACATTTTGATACTGATCAAACTAATTAAGTATGTATCTAATAATTATGAATATGGTGAAAAACTGATAAAGAATATAGAAGAAGTAAAGAACAAAGTAGGGAGAATATGTAATATATTATTTCATATCTTCAAGTGTCCAAAATACAATACAGTGCACTTAATTTATAGACGTAGAAAAGTTATTCAAAGATCATGAGTTACAAGACCTTAATGATGAATAGTGGTAGAAAAGCTAGTCAAAGACCACATTTTTACTTATGTCATTAAGTTCGGATATCAATATTATTATCTGAGACAGTAATTTAACTGTATGAGACAGCAATATTACTGTCTGAGAGAGTAATTCTATTGTATTAATTAATTTTATCGTCTTGGCCTGCAATTTTGCTGTCTTCGTCCGTAGTATTACTGTCTCATGCAATATTATTACTGTTTGGGACAATGATATTAGTAATATTGTTGTTCAGGAGAGTAATATTCATAATATTATTGTTCAGACAGTAATATTAGTATTTTAAATAGTAATATTAGTAATACTATTGTTAGATAAATTAATATTAGTAATATTACTGTTTTTTTGTTGTTAAAACAATAATTTAGAGAGAAAAAAAAATTCCAAAAAAAAAAATCAACGCCGGGGAACCGTGCGGTCAACAGCGGAGTCTGGCCGGAAAAAAAAAAGTTAGAAAAATAATTATTTTCTGAAACAACAATATTTAAAAAAAAATATGAAAATGGGGGTTAATGTGATATATTTGTTCAAATTCGGGTCAATATGCAATATTGATGAAGTTAGAGTATAATGGATGAAATTGATGTTGTATTATAAATGGTATATTAGACAAAAGACATGCAGATAGGTTTATTCACAAGAATGTTATTTGTCTGGACTGCATTTAAGTTCATTGTCATAGACCAATTTGCCCACAATAAAGGCAAGTTTAATGTATATGACAAAATTACCCCCAACTCTTTAATAACAATTCATAATTGTAACCCCAATTTAACAACAAAATTCAATTTTGACTTTTTCTTTTTTATTTTTTTATTCTGATTTTTTTTGCGCCATCGCTTGCCATCGGTTTGAAAATTTTTATCGACTTTTTTTTTTACGCCGACCACTGAATGTTGACAATATTGTACTGCCGTTGACAGTAATTGTACTATCTTTGACAATACAATTACTGTAAACAGAATAATATTATTGTCAATTACATCAATATTATTATTTTTTTGGCCTTTTTATTTTGTTTGTTTTATTGACTGGTCAACATAATAATATTATTATCTACTATTGTAATATTACTGTAAACACAATAATATTATTGTGGTTGACGGTAATATTACTATCGTTGCAGTAATATTAGTGGTTGACTGCCGGAGACCGGAGACCGGCATTGACCACCGGTCAGCGGCAACAACAAAAAAAGTCAACATGGGAGACCGGCGGTCACCGTCGATCAATGGCGGTGGCGGACGAAATTGTAGTCTAATTAGGTTATGGGTCAAAATTGAATAATTGGTAAAATTTGGGGTCAAATTGAGGTTAAATTGAAATAAAATGATAAAATTGAAGCATATTAAAATGTGATGGAGTATTTTAGTCTTTTACACATCTCTGGATATTTTTGTAACAAGGAAGACAACTCAATACTCTCTCTCTCTATCTCTTTCTCTCTCTAGACGACGATGTACGTTTCCGATGACCTAGTTTCAGAAATACTATCACACCTCCCTGTGCAGTCTCTGCTCCGCTTCAAGACCGAATGCAAATCATGGAACACTATAATCTCTTCCCCGATTTTCGTCGAATCGCACCTCAACAACTACGGCAAAAACAACAACTTTATTCTACTCACCGCAAGCGTAAAGCTAAGACTATCGTTGGCCTCGTTCGGCATATCATCACCGTCGTCGTCAAGATTGACCGTCGTTGACCGATATTCTCTTGAATTACCAATCGTGAAGATCATACACAAAATTATCGGCCCATTGAACGGCTCCATATGCATCTACGGGACCGCATTGTACGAATAAATCTCCCTCTGCAACCCTAATCTCCGTACGTTCGAGACTCTCGCCACCTATCCGATACTCGAAAACAACCCTTGTTAATGAGAGGACGATATAGCATACGAAGCATGGGATTAGGTCTCGATTTTGTCACCAAAGAAATCAAACTAGTGCAACTCTTGTCTCTTAATTTTCTTGACGACAAAGAACTCGTAAAAGGAATCCGCGTCGACATATACTCCCCGAGCACGAAAACATGGAGACCCGCCCCCTCCGCCACGTCGGCAACTATAACTGTATCGAAGGCAATTGGTTCTTACAAGGATGGTTCGTTTGCTCATTGGTTAGATAGTACGAAAAATCTCATACTATCATATCGTTCGACATGCAAAAAGAGGTCTTTGTGAGAACGCCGCTTTCGATACGGTACACAAAGGAAAATAAGATTAACATTCTTGTCAAGGATAGTAGGTCACTTGTCCTATACGTATACCCTCGAGAGCCGGTTGATGAAGAAAACTACTTGTTCGATAGATGGGAGTTGACCGGTTTGGGGGAGCAATGGTACGGTCTAGGTTAACGCGTGTTGGACCTTTTCCGGGAGTGTCTAAGCCGATGATGGCTTGCAAACATGTAATTGTTGCGAATAAGGGAATCAAGTTGGCTTTTTACGATTATTTGACTCAACGAGAAAGAAGATCGGGTTGTCACATAGAGGAGAACGATTATGGCCAAATGTATCTCTTCATCAAAGCTCTTGAGTATAAGGGGAGTCCATTTAATTAGTGATCTATACCGATTTTTCTTTTATCTTTTTTTTTTTGGGCAGAAAAACTCGAATTATAGTTCTCAAATTGAAATTTTTATATTGTGTCAAGTGTTGTGGTTTTTTTTTTTTTTTATAGGTGGCTTACGTTGTTTTGATTGCCATGTTTATGTCCAAAAAAGTAATTGTTATACATCTAATTATAAATTGGCATGCAATATTACCTTGACTTGTACTTTAATAATCAACACATTATATTAATCAACAAATTACGAAAAACCCCTCTTGTTTGAGTAATTACAGCCCCCTCCAACTTATGAGTCTTCTTACACGTTCACTCTTATGGTGTAAAATTCAACATAATCTTCTAGATTTCGTGGAATGTTCTCTAGTTTGTACTCGTTTTGTGCAAAAATTCAAATTCTGACGCATCACAATCTGATATTTACAAGCCAAAAGACACATCTTATGATCATCTTGTTTTAAAATGTGGAGCTCGAATGAGGTAAAAACGGGTACAAACTGGAGAATACCACATAATTTAGAAGATTCCACTAAATTTGACACCACAAGAGTGGACGTGTAAGACGATTCATAATTGATGGGTGATTGTAATTACCCAAACAAGAGGGTTTTTTTGTAATTTAACCATACCTCAGGGAGGTGGCCGTAATTTACCCTAAATATAATTCATAATCCAAAATTTCGAAAACCTAAATTGAAATCAGGAATTCGCCACTGCATTGCGAGCATCACCCTTGCTTGCTTCCAGAAAGTGGAAACTATCATTGACCACTTTCGGCCTATCATCATCACCATCGTATTACCATCTATGATGGAGTGCAAGATGTTCGTAGACAAATATTCGCCCTCCGCAACCCTAATCTTCGTACACCCGAGACTTTTGCCACCTCTCCGATTCCCAACGGCGACCTCTCTTTGAGCGGATGTACCACAACAAGGCATGGGATTAGGTCTAAATTGCATCACCGAATCAAACTAGTGCAACTTTTGTCTTATTTGATTTACGACAAGGATAAAGTCGTCAAACGGAATATTCCGCACGGACATATGTCCCTGAGCACGAAAACATGGAGACAAGTACTCGACTATGATTATGCTTTTGTCAGGCAAACAATTGGGTCGTGACACGTGGTACAACGATGGTTCCTCTACTCATTGGCTAGATAGGACGCGAAGTGTCGTACCCCACTTCCGAGAAAACACGACATCGATAACAAGAAATGTGAAGATTTTTGTCGATGATAGTTGCACACTTGTCCTATTCGTATTCCCACAAAAACAAGTTTCTAAAAACTACTTATTCAATAGATTGGGATTCGGAATAAAATAAAACATAATGAATAAAAAAAACAAAAAAAATATTTTAGTCTGTCAGACAGCTGCTCGACCACCCTAGCCAGCCAAAGCTAACCAAGAACGATCCTCTACTGAGTCAACTGGCCCGAGCCAATGAGTCTATTAATCACGCTCTCGTCGAGCAGCCATGGCTCATCCACCAGAGTTGGTTTCTTGTCTCCTTAGAAGTCAAGGATACAGAGGTACGAGCCTATAGAACAGATCCTGTTCAAGTAAGGTCGTGCCTTATAATGCTGAGTCAGCTGTATAAATTGATGTTAATTGTATCGTATTCTGTCGATGTGGGATCGACTCTGTGGCAAACTTTATTCACTTCCTGTAATAATTACACTAGACAGCTATTTATTATACGTAATAACAAATTGTTATTATTAATCATATTACACTAGACAATATGCCATAATCCTCGTATTCTGGAATATTTATAAGGTATAACTACTAATCTATTGTTTTAAAATAAAGACTATAATAAATTGATATATATATATATATATATATATATATATATATATATATATATATATATATATATATAATAGTTTAAGAATTAAACTATATTCATTGTAAACAATATATAGTTACAATCTATGCAGTACGGACACGGAAAGAAACGACCAAAGAGAAACGACATATCTAAAAAATGGGATACGGCAGTTTGGGGGAAATGTGTAAATATTAAAATTATAGAGTATATTTATAAACATGTTGTATGAATATATATGTAAGTTTTTATATATGTATAAATTATTTTTATATATTTTGATACAAACATAGTCAAAATAAATCTTACTATCGATTTGCAATTGATTGTTACATCGTGTAAATAATTAGGGAAACGACAAAAATATTTAAAAAATTGCTATTCAAACATATTTTTTTTTTTAATTTTTTGAGAAATTGCAAAATGACCCATAAAGTGTTCGGCAAGTGTCTGACACGAAATGTGTCCGAAATGCGAAAGCTTTAAGAAGTAGAAGTTTATGTAATACATGGTTACAACGAAAGGAGGGAATGCACGTACACACATCAATTTTAAAGAAAATACAAATTTGAAGGTATTATAGAATTTAAAATACAAATTAAATTGTGTTTGAGGGGGTAAGTGTTACAAACGATACGGTAAGTGTTACAAATGGTATACTTTTAGGGGTGTAAACTGTATTTAACCCTTAATTTTAAATATTTTTGTATATATTTAAGAAACTAAATATTCCAAAAATACAAACATAATATAGTAAAACCTCGATAAATTAATAACCTCGATTAAATAATAGTTTCTCGCGGTCCTGACTCGGTGAAAACGTGTTGTGTTAAATTATTAACTCGATGATTTAGTAAGTGGTTAAATTAATAGAATTTCTTTAATGCCGGGTTTATTAATTTTGTATATTTAAATAATATTAAAAATAAAAATAAAAAGCGTGTTCAGATTTTATGACCCTACTCTGAGAACACCTCCACTGTCAAAGTTTCAGCCTCACCACCACACATTATCACTGTTTGCCGCCGCCGAGCAACCCCGTCGAGCCGCCGTCAATTTCAATCGAGCCGCCGTCCACTCTCCGCCACCCCTCCGCCGCTCCCAACAGAGAGAACCGATGGCGTGTAGAGTCCAATACTCCATACAGAACAGCCTCCGGTTGTTTTCGTCACCGTATCCCAATTTCCCCACTTTTCTCAAATTATCACAAACAACACGTTTCAGAGATTCCAAAAATTATTTGCTTTCCAAAGCAGCCTTCTATTGCTCTTGCAGAACAACTGAAAATACTTCTGACCCTTTTGTCCTCACCACTCCCCTTTATTACGTAAATGCCCCCCCTCACATGGGCAGCGCCTACACCACCATCGCCGCTGATGCCATTGCCCGTTTTCAGGTAATACAATTTTTTTTTTTTTGTGTTCTTGGCAATTCAAATTGTTTTCGAGTAGTTTCTTTGAAGGTAATGTTTTTTTCTCTTAGCTGATGTTGTTGCATTTCCGACTATCCTTAGGCCTCGTTTGGTTGGGGAGATTAGCCCTTATTAACTAAATTTTTAGTTCGATAATTTCATATTCGCTAAACTGATAGGATTTTGCTAGTCCCGACTCTATTAATTTATAGAGGTGTAAGGCCTTGTTTGGTTGGGGATATTAGCCATTATTAACTAAATAATTGGATTTTGTTTGATGTTTGGTATCCCCAATAGCTTACCGGGTCGACCCGCAAATATTATGTTATCCTGACTTATCTTGCCTTTTAGAGGGTTTTTTTTTTGTTGGACGTCCCGGGTTCCGATAAAATAATTGGGTTTTTTTTAGATTATTTAATCTTATATTGGCTAATCTTATTTTGCCAACCAAACGAGGCTTAACTGTATTATGTTATCATGGCTTATCCTGCCTTGTAGGCATGTTTTTTATTGGATCATCGAAGGTCCAATAATATAATTTGGTTTCATTAGATTATTTAATTTTAGCTTCGCTAATCTTGTCTTGGCAACCAAACGAGGCCTTAGTGTACATGTGAAAATATCCTCATTAATTTTATTTGCGCCTGTATATGTAGTTATAGGTGATGATTTCAGTTGCATATGTAAGGTAAATTCCGACCGAGGATCGGTGAAGGAGCAACCATAGAGCCAAGGGGGCGAAGGCCCCCCCACTGTTTCTCAATAACCTAGTATTTTATATAGAGATTTTGTTATTTTCCGAGTAGTGTAGTATTTTCTACATTCGGCCCACACAAACATAAAGATTTGTTATGTATTTATAGAGAGTCTTTTGAACTGCAGAGACTTCTTGGGAAGAAGGTTATATTCATAACGGGCACAGACGAGCACGGCGAGAAGATTTCTACCGCCGCAATCGGAAACGGGTCCAGCCCTAAGGAGCACTGCGATTCCGTTTCGCAAGCTTATAAGTCACTCTGGACAGAGGTAACTTAAAATCCACTCACCGTCGTATCTTTTGAACGTCGATCAACTTCTAACATCCGTTTGTGCTAATATCTTTTGTTTTTGCCTATGTTTTTGACGTATCATGTTGACAGTTGAACATATCGTACGACAAGTTCATTCGCACAACCGATCCTAATCATGAAGCCATCGTCAAGGAGTTCTACGCCAAGGTTCTTGCTAACGGTGATATCTACCGTGCTGACTACGAGGGGCTGTACTGCGTCAACTGCGAGGAATATAAGGTATCGTTTATTACTCAAACTGCGAAAATTCTCGTCTCGTTGTTTTTGTTGTCATTTAAATATTTTGTATCTAATGCCCAGCCATTTGATCGAATTACAGTTACTGATTTAGGTATATTACATATTTCACTCGGAATATTAAGTTTTTTTTTATCCAAGGGACACTATTGAAATGTAATGATGAATTCGATTGAGAAATCTGGCTGTGAGTATTTGTATTACTGCTGTGTGTAAATAAATTGATGTGTGTGCGTGCGTGTAAGTTCGTACAAGGTGTTTCCGTTCTAAATTATTACAATTTGCGAATATGTAGGACCAGAAGGAATTATTGGAGAATAATTGCTGCCCCATGCACTTGAAGCCGTGTCTCCACCGGAAGGAAGACAATTACTTCTTTGCACTATCGAAATATCAAAAAAGATTAGAAGATATTTTAACGGAAAACCCGGATTTCGTGCAGCCTTCTTTTCGTCTGAACGAGGTTCTCTAATACTGCAGTGCTTTTGCATCTTTCGATATTTGCTCCGTATAGTCAGCTCTACTGAACTTTTTTTGATTTCTGCGCTTTATTTGGTGAAAACGAAAGCCGTATTTTCGTCACCATTTTGTCGAATAAACAAATTAGAAATTAATAAATGCTAGATTCCTCGAACCGACTAAATTTAAATTATTTTCTTAATAAATTGTTGTAGGTGCAAGGCTGGGTAAAAAATGGGCTGAGAGATTTCTCGATTTCTCGAGCATCGGTCGAATGGGGTATTCCGGTTCCCAATGATCCGAAGCAGACTATTTATGTATGGTTTGATGCTTTATTGGGGTAATCTATTTTACATCCTCAATTCTTGCATATAAATATTATTTTCAATTTTATCGTCTTTTAATGAAGCATAAACATACAGGGACCAAATCACAAATTGGCATATATAATTTTTTTTAATTGTTTTTAATTTTTTTTGACAATTTCTTTTTTTAATTTTTTTGTCAAACAGTTACGTATCTGCTCTCTCAGAAGACGAGAAGCAACCTAACTTAGAAACCGCAATTTCGTCTGGTTGGCCTGCGACACTACACTTGATTGGGAAGGTATATTGTGTAGTGCTTTGGATTATGCTATTATTAATTTACGAAATGTTCGTTTCTTCTATTGTTATATAGAATTCTCGCGGGTTTCTAAGTCGATTTCACTAATAATATTAAGCAGGACATATTACGGTTTCATGCTGTTTATTGGCCAGCGATGCTGATGTCTGCTGGAGTTAGCCTCCCGAAGAAGGTGTTTGGTCATGGATTCTTGACTAAGGTATTCAAATTAGTTTCGTATGTTAATTCCTTTTTTTGTCAAGAAATTCTTTCGATTATGCGTTATGTTTTTGATTCCTTATTTTGTTTTTTTTAGTAGAACCGATCTCTTTTTTAGGATGAATTTTGGAGTAAATTTAACTAACGACCGATTTTCCGACATTTCAATTATTTTCTTTAGCAAGAACTCAAAATAAGAGTTCGTTAGCAAGAACTCTTGCCTAATTCTCTTACATGTACGTTGTTTTTTTTCCTATTACATTTAATGTAACAATGTTGCGTATTCTATAGGATGGCTTGAAAATGGGAAAATCACTCGGAAATACACTCGAACCCACCGACTTGGTGCGGAGATTCGGACCTGATGCAGTGAGGTATTTCTTCCTTAGGGAGGTGGAATTCGGCAACGATGGGGACTACTCAGAGGAACGTTTCGTCAATATTATCAATGCAAATCTTGCAAATACTATTGGTATTATTACTCTATCTCCATTTTACCTAAATATTTACGTAATTGAGTCCTCTATTAAGGTATTCGGTAATTGAATCATGGCTGTATTTGAGTGGAACAACCTTTGTGTGTGTTTGTGTGTGCGTTATAGGCCATATTATAAGGCCAATTAAAAAGAATATTAAGAAAAAAAAAAGAAAAAAAGATTTTTTCTTCACAAAATATATTTTTATGGGAGTGAAGTTTTTCCTTATCGATGTTTATTTGGTGCACTTACACGAAGAGAGTGTCTTGGTTTTCTTTAATAAATAGGATTTAATGGTGACTTAATTCGATAAATATCAAATCTATATATATATATATATATATATATATATATATATATATATATATATATATATATATATATATATATATATATATATATATATATATATATAATGTGGTTTCTTTCGTACTGGAAACCTCACAGCGCGAGATTCGGCCTTTGCAGGATTCTAATATTGAATTTCCATCAGGTAATCTTCTTAATCGTACACTTGGATTATTGAGAAAGAATTGCCAATCCGCTATTTCCGTCAATTCAGCTATTGCAGCAGAAGGCATTGCGTTCAAGGATACTGTGGAGAAACAGGTAAAACTCCTTTTTGTTTACGATTTACTCAAATCGGTTGACTCGTATGAAGTAATAATTAATAAAACTATAAACTATATTTGTATGTTTCTTTCTCCTTATAAACTCTTGCATACTATGAGACTACTTCGATTTTCCCGTTTTTTTTAGGGTAAATTACAACCACCCCCTGGGTATGGTCAATTTACAAAAAAAACCCTCTTGTTTGGATAATTACATCTACCCCTCAACTATGTTTTTTTTCTTACACCTCCACCCTTATGGTGTCAAATTCAACATAATCATCTAGATTTCGTGGAATGTGCTCTAGTTTGTACTCGTTTTGTGCAAAAATACAGTTTCTGATGCACCACAATCTGATATATACAAGCCAAACACATATTATGATTATCTTGCTTTAAAATGTAGAGTTCGAATGAGATAAAACGGGTACAAAAGTCATAATATTCCATATAATCTAGAAGAAAGGGTGGACGTGTAAGAAGTTTTATAGTTGAGTGGGTGGTTGTAGTTACCCAAACAAGAGGGGGGTTTTCGTAATTTGACCATACCTCAGGTGGTGGTTGTAATTTACCCTTTTTTTTTAATTATATATAAGTGAAGTGTGCTATTGCTGCAATGAAATATTGCAGGTTGAAAAAGCCAGACAGCACTACGAGAATCTTGAACTGTCGTCGGCTTGCGAGGCGGTGCTACAGATTGGTAATGCTGGGAATGTATACATTAACGAAAAAGCGCCGTGGTCTCTTTTTAAGCAAGGCGACTCCGGTTTCGAAGCTGCATCCAAGGTTTTTTTTTTTTTTTATTCCACTCGTTTTTCATCGATCTTTAATCTTCTCAGTGAAAAAATATAAGAAAATGCGTCACTAA